CCATGTCAGATGGTCACGACATGAGCCACGAAGGCTCCATGCTGAGCACACGAAGACTGAGAGGAATCCTGGAAATCCAGGGCCTCGCCCCGGGCGGCTGGTCAGGGCTGGTGCCATTTGCTCAGGTGGGAGAGGCTGAGGGAGGGCGTGCATGAGCCACGAAGGCTCCATGCTGAGCACACGCAGGCTGTGTCGGGCAGACCCAGGTGGAGGCCTCAGACGTGCGGCATCTGGTCAGGGTGGCGTGGAGGGGCCTTGCTGGTAGGCGGTGTGGATGGAGACAACGGGCTGCAGACCCAGCGCTGGGTGCTGAGCGAGAGGAGGGGAGCCCCGGAGGGAAAGGGGCTGTCAGGAGGGAGATGGACCCCTGAAGTGGGCACTGCCAGGAGGCTCGGCCTGTGGAGGTGTGACATCAGAGCAGAGGATGGGGCGGGGTGGAGAAGGAGAGGAGGCAGGAAGAGGGGGGCAGAGGGGAGGGCCGAGTGGAGGGGCCAGCAGTGGACGCATGGGAAGCTGGCCAGGCTCTCTCCTCTCCCTCGTGTTTGTACGGTCACATCTTTGCACACAGAGCCTTTAAAAACAAAACTGGACTCTCCGTACCCTTATTTGGAAACTGGCTTTCACGTAATTTTAAGTCTGTCCACCTGCCAGGTGCAGGAATGTTCCAGGGGCGGACAGGGCAGCGGGCAAGGCATCCCTTCCTGCCCGCTCTCCACTGGGGGAGCCCAGCTGGAGGGGTCAGGTGTTAAAGGGCCTCGTCCGTGAGGAGGCCTGCGGAGAAGGGTGAGCAGGGTGCATCCTGGGCGGCCCGGGCATCGCAAGGCATTACTTCATGTCCCACAACATGTTTCTATCACAAAATGCAGTTACCTGTGCCTGGGAAGGCCCAGACGTGATGCTGCGGAGTCGAGAGCTCACCTGACAATAGCCTGAGGCCTCACCTGCTGGCAGTACCTGTCCAGGGGCTCACCTGACAATAGCCCGAGGCCTCGCCTGCTGGCAGCACCTGTCCTAGAGCTCACCTGACAATAGCCCGAGGCCTCGCCTGCTGGCAGTACCTGTCCTAGAGCTCACCTGACAATAGCCCGAGGCCTCACCTGCTGGCAGCACCTGTCCAGGGGCTCACCTGACAATAGCCCGAGGCCTCACCTGCTGGCAGCACCTGTCCAGGGGCTCACCTGACAATAGCCTGAGGCCTCGCCTGCTGGCAGTACCTGTCCTAGAGCTCACCTGACAATAGCCCGAGGCCTCACCTGCTGGCAGCACCTGTCCAGGGGCTCACCTGACAATAGCCCGAGGCCTCACCTGCTGGCAGCACCTGTCCAGGAGGTCACCTGACAATAGTCCGAGGCCTCGCCTGCTGGCAGTACCTGTCCAGGGGCTAACCTGACAATAGCCCGAGGCCTCACCTGCTGGCAGTACCTGTCCAGGGGCTCACCTGACAATAGCCCGAGGCCTCACCTGCTGGCAGCACCTGTCCAGGGGCTCACCTGACAATAGCCCGAGGCCTCACCTGCTGGCAGTACCTGTCCAGGGGCTCACCTGACAATAGCCTGAGGCCTCGCCTGCTGGCAGTACCTGTCCAGGAGTTCACCTGACAATAGCCTGAGGCCTCACCTGCTGGCAGCACCTGTCCAGGGGCTCACCTGACAATAGTCCGAGGCCTCACCTGCTGGCAGTACCTGTCCAGGAGGTCACCTGACAATAGTCCGAGGCCTCGCCTGCTGGCAGCACCTGTCCAGGAGGTCACCTGACAATAGTCCGAGGCCTCGCCTGCTGGCAGCACCTGTCCAGGGGCTCACCTGACAATAGCCCGAGGCCTCGCCTGCTGGCAGCACCTGTCCTAGAGCTCACCTGACAATAGTCCGAGGCCTCGCCTGCTGGCAGCACCTGTCCAGGGGCTCACCTGACAATAGCCCGAGGCCTCACCTGCTGGCAGTACCTGTCCAGGGGCTCACCTGACAATAGCCTGAGGCCTCGCCTGCTGGCAGTACCTGTCCAGGAGCTCACCTGACAATAGCCCGAGGCCTCACCTGCTGGCAGTACCTGTCCAGGAGCTCACCTGACAATAGCCTGAGGCCTCACCTGCTGGCAGCACCTGTCCAGGGGCTCACCTGACAATAGCCTGAGGCCTCGCCTGCTGGCAGCACCTGTCCAGGGGCTCACCTGACAATAGCCTGAGGGCCAGCCAGGTTGCTGGGCGTGGGGAGGGTGCAGAGCAGGAAGCCTGTCCACCTGGCCGGCAGCGGCAGGAGCCGGCAGCGTGGCCCCACCTGAGGCTAAGCACCAGGCAGACTCCGTAGTGAGCGAGTGGTATCTACAAAACGGGCGGGAACCGCGCTGTGGTGACAGCACCTGCAGACAGCGGCTGGGACGGAGGTGGCAGCCCCATCACCGTGGTCTGTGTTGTCGGAGACCAGGAGTAGGCCCTGGGTGGGCCCCTGTGGGAGCCAGTCCTGACAAGGCATGAACGGGTATCAGAGATGTTCACCCCCCAGTTAAATAGCCCAAGAAAGTGCCCGCGTTGTCCCTGCAATGGCCCATGCCTGCTGTCCGCTGGCACAGTGCGCAGAGGCCATCCTCCGCACAGGAAGTGGCCCGGCAGCCATGGCGCCACGCAGGGCAGCCAGGAGGCGCACCGCTCGGGTGACTGCAGTGTCCCTCGGAGCCACACAGGGGTGCCCGTGGGCCTGCCTGCCCCATGCCGACTGCTTCGGGGTGGCTCACAGCAGAGGCGCACCCATGTACCTGTTAGATGAATGTAACTTGTGTTAGGAGTTATGTCACTTTAAAAGTAAGTGTTCGCACTGAAAATATTGTTTTGAAGACTTACAGTTTCAGCTGAGCTCACGGTGGGCAGCAGCTATGCCAAGGGCCCCGAGTGTAGGGGCAGCGGACAGCAAGGGTGCCGCTGGGGCCGGGCTCTGAGACGATCCTCCTGCCCCGACCCAGAGCAGAGAGAGTGAGAGCAGGACCTGGCCAGGCAGCCGTGGCCCGGGGAACAGCCAGCTGGGATGAGGCTGACCGGCATGGAGGACAGGGACAGAGGGACAGGGACATGCTGCAGGGATGGAGGAGGACCAGGACGGGAAGGAGCAGGCTGGCGGCCGGCATGCTTGCAGGGTGCAGCTGGGGCGATGCGGTCAAACCAGACAGGGAATGTGTAAGGACAGAATGGAGGTCACACTAAAGGCATTTGCCACTCAAGCCTTTGGAAGGAGGCTGGGCCCTGGCTGGGCAGTGCCCGGGCGAGGGAGGCTCAAGTGGTGGAGGTCCTGGCCACAGGCACGGTCCGGGCCCCGCAAAGGCAGCACCGAGATCGCTGGCCTGCAGCCCCGCAGGCCCTGCGTTTCAGATCCAGGTGATGCTCATGTGTGGGGGCTTGTAAGTGTTGGGGTGAGGGGGGCTGAAATGCGGATGGGGCCCAGGGAGTGAGGGGTGGCCGAGGCCCAGGGAGCGAGGGGTGGCCGAGGCCCAGGGAGTGAGGGGTGGCTGAGGCCCAGGGAGCGAGGGGTGGCTGAGGCCCAGGGAGCGAGGGGTGGCCGAGGCCCAGGGAGCGAGGGGTGGCCGAGGCCCAGGGAGCGAGGGGTGGCCGAGGCCCAGGGAGCGAGGGGTGGCTGAGGCCCAGGGAGTGAGGGGTGGCCGAGGCCCAGGGAGTGAGGGGTGGCCGAGGCCCAGGGAGCGAGGGGTGGCTGAGGCCTTAGAGACGGTGGCGGGAGCAGAGCCAGTGTAATGAAGGAGCCGAGGCCGCACTGCGAGGCAGGGCCCCTGCGAGGCGAGCACCGGGCAGAAGGTCCAGCAGAGCAGCAGATCCCTGGCCTCTGGTGTCTGCTCCTTAGCTGAGCCCTCGGCCTGACATGCGTGTGGACTGTGCTGACAGGTGGATTTTCAGAAACTGGACAAAGGAAAGCAATCACTGATACACAAATGCTGGAAGCAAGAAATCAATTGTCCCATCAAATCATAATAAACGCAGTGTCCTGGGGCCCGTCGGGGGCCCTGGGCTGGCACATGGCCGGGAGGAGGGTCTGCTCCACGGGCACCTGTGCTCCCGGGGCCACCACGCCCAGCCAGCGCCTCCTGCTCAGGGCTTCCGCCCTGTCCTTTGTCGGAGTGTGTGTCTGTGTGTGTGTCTGTGTGTGTCTGTGTGTGTGTCTGTGTGTGTCTGTGTGTCTGTGTGTGTCTGTGTTTCTGTGTGTGTCTGTGTGTGTGTCTGTGTGTCTGTCTGTGGGTCTGTTTAGTGAAGCAGCGTGTGTGCTGGAACAGGTCTCATCGGTGTGGAGCCTGCACTGCTTCTCAGTGGGGAGGGTGGGCGGGTGCCGGGAGCGATCTGGGGGAGGGCCGGAGGGGACAGGAACAGCCGAGGCCGGGGCCCTGGGAAGATGTCACTCTCCATGCCCCAGGGCAGAGGCTGGTAGGCCCATCTCTGGGCCTGAGGTGTGCAGCCCTGGGGATGCTGTCACAGGTCTGTGTGTGAGGCGGGCCCAGCACTCCAGCTCCTGGAAGTAACTGCGTCGGGCAGGTGCCTGGCTCCAGGGGAGCGTGTCCAGGGAGGCTCCCTGCTCACAGCTCTGACCAGCTGCCAGTTCCGCGCCAGGTCTCCGTGCCAGGGAGTGCAGGCACTAGCACATCCGGGCCCCACCTGCTCTTGCTGACCGTCGGGCCAGCGCCTCAGCCCTGCTTGCAACAGGACTTCTCTTTCTCACGCGTCTCTTCGAATCCTGTCCCGTGGGCATGCGTGTCCAATTCTCTGGTTTCAGGCTCCATGCAGCGCGCGTGTGCAGGAAACCCAGTGTCTCTGTGAGCGGATGGGGTGGTGGGGGGAGGAGGGGGCTGCGGGGTGAGGAGGGGGGACAGTGCGTTCACTGGTGCAGTGTGCTGGCTCCCGGGAGGGGGCTCCCCTGGAGGCCTGTCTCCTGTGTCCAGGGGCGGAAGGCTGGCAGTTTCACACCAGTTCCTGCTGCTCAGGCGCTGACCCCTGTCCCTCTTTGTGCTGCCAGGTGGACACGTGTGGCGCGGCGTGAGGGAGACAGCATGGCTGCAGGCGTGGCTGACCACCTGCCCTTCTTCTTTGGCAACATCACCCGGGAGGAGGCCGAGGATTACCTGGTCCAGGGCGGCATGAGCGACGGGCTCTACCTGCTGCGCCAGAGCCGCAATTACCTGGGCGGCTTCGCCCTGTCGGTGGCGCACGGGCGCAAAGCGCACCACTACACCATCGAGCGGGAGCTGAACGGGACCTACGCCATCGCGGGCGGCAGGGCGCACCCCAGCCCAGCTGAGCTCTGCCTCTACCACTCCCAGGAGTCCGACGGCCTGGTCTGCCTCCTCAAGAAGCCCTTCCACCGGCCGCCCGGGGTGCAGCCCAAGACGGGGCCCTTCGAGGACCTGAAGGAGAACCTCATCCGGGAGTATGTGAAGCAGACCTGGAACCTGCAGGTGAGCCGCCACGGGCGCAGCCCCCACCCCTCCCCAGGGCCCGCTGCCTCAGACCAGCATCCACTCAGACCAAAGCGCTTTGCCCCAGAAGGCAGCCTCTTCCCTGTGCTCACAGCAGTGAGGGTGGCCCCTGCGTGCAGCGATGTGGGTTTCTCCACCAGGAAACCGCGTCACCATTTATGCCGGCCTTTTCAGAGAGCGTGGCAGGCACCCTGTCCGTTATTTACCCAAGGGGGTCGCACTAGACAGGATTCTATAGCTCCGTGACCTCTCGCAGAACGTCGGGTCAGCACCCATGTTAACTAACCGCTATGGCTGCCCGGCATTCCTCCTGTCCCCGAGGTTCACTTACCCGTGGTCGGCAAACAGCGGCTCGAGAGCCACATGCAGCTCTTTGGCCCCTTGAGTGTGGCTCTTCCTAAGCCTTAGGAGTACCCTAATTAAGTTAATAACAATGTACCTACCTATATAGTTTAAGTTTAAAAAATTTGGCTCTCAAAAGAAATTTCAATCGTTGTACTATTGATATTTGGCTCTGCTGACTAATGAGTTTGCCGACCACTGCCTTAGCTGGTTCCACTAATGGACTTCCATTGTTCACACACAATGGGTGGGGAGCACCCTCCACAGCCATCCTTCCGGCCGCCGCCGTGTCTGCCGGGCGGGCCGAGCACCTGGTTTGCCGCAGCGAAGGGCGTGCGTGTCTGGTTTGTGTGTGTGGACAACTTGTCATCCACGAAGGTCCCGGAGGCTGTGACCACTCACACCCGCGGCCTCTGGGTCCTCTCTGGGCTCGCCGCCTCGCCAGCCTCTGGTGCGCCTGAGTCATCGTCCGTGCAGGGACGGCTGTACAGGCTCCCGGGCTGCGTGCTGTGACTGCTTCCTCCCGGTAATACATTCTGTACTAAGTTCCACCTTGCAGAGCGTGATCGTACTCTGCCCAGCGTGCTCGTTAGCAGGCACTGGGTGTGTTAGACCATCCCTCTCCTTTAAAGTCAGGCGGATCAGATTCATTGAGGTGTAATTTACACATCCTGTGCCTTCTGACTGACACGTGGTATAACGAGGCCCCATCCAACCAAGACACGCAGCAGCTCCACTGCCCATCAAGCACCCTGTGCCCAGCCCCCAGATGCCCCCCATCTGATTTCGGTCCCTTAGCTTTGCTGCTTCCGGAACTCCGTATAAACGAGCTCACACAGCAGGTAGCCTGTCAGACCAGCTGCTTTCGCTGAGTGTCGGGCCCCGGTGAGGCAGCATGCGGGCCTGGCGAGGAAGGCAGTGTGTCGGCCACGGTCATCCTCTCTGTCAGGGCTGCGCAGTGCCACACCCTTCCACTCTGACCTCGATGCCCTTGCTTTGCAGCCTCCCTGGTATGTAACTATCGCTGCTTTGGTTTCTCATTTCATCTGTGAGGCATGACAAAGCTCCCACCCTCACCTGCCTCCTCCCTCCTGCTCCTAGTTTGGGTTGATTCTATTTTTACTTTTTGATTCTTGTGGTTTGTTTTATAACTTCAGATAATCAGACTCTGGTTCTTCATTGACTGCTCTGCGGGATATGTGTTTCTCCCGCACTAAGAACAGAGAGGACAGAGCCCACCCAGGGTGAGCCCCTCCTGTTTCTGTTCGGTGCCATCATTTCCACAGCGAGGTGCGCCCTGCAGTGCCTGCGGTCCCACCCTGCAGGACAGGCAGCACTGTGCGCGCGGTGCCCTCGGGGCGGGCAGGAGCGCAGGGCTCCGTGCTTCTCCATTGCTCATCGGTGATTGACACGGAACACTGTCCTAGACGACTGAGCCAGGGACGGGGCTGGGTCCCGGCGTTTCTCGGCCTGGTGTGGCCTTTGGAAGGCCAAACGTCTCAGTGTTCTGAAGTCTGCTTTGTTGTTCACATCGGGGAGGTGCTGGAATACTCCGCAGATCTTTCTGGCTTTGTTTATGGGGGCGTGCACGCGCACACTTGGTGATGGTGCGTCAGGATGCAGGCCGGTGGGCGCCTGAGGCCTCGCCTGAGCCCTCGCCTGAGCGCAGCTCTGCCCGCAGGGCCAGGCGCTGGAGCAGGCCATCATCAGCCAGAAGCCGCAGCTGGAGAAGCTCATCGCCACCACCGCCCACGAGAAGATGCCCTGGTTCCACGGGAAGATCTCCCGGGACGAGTCCGAGCAGATTGTCCTGATCGGGTCCAAGACCAACGGGAAGTTTTTGTAAGTACTGCCTCTTTTCCTCTCCCGCACCACGGGCCTGCTGGGGTCAGGGCTGACTCGGGCCTCCATCGCCCGACCCACACGACCGGGGAGCCCACACTCTCACCCGAAGACACATGCAGGCTCCGTCCCATCCGGGGCGTTTCCAGTCTGAGCTGCCCCTCGTCACTCACATTTGTTTAGCCCAGTCTGACCCACGGGGAGCCTCCTATGGGCACTGGGCATATCATTTAATGGCTGTTCCTCAGCCTCAGAGCCAGCTCTTGATAGCAAGCTCGGCTGCATGGTGATGCCTGTGGTATTCGTTTAATCCAGAGGCAGTGCAGGGCCCGCCCAGTCTTAGCCTTCCCCTGTCTTCCTGGGAACTAGGTGCCGGGAGTGCAGGTGGAGTAGGCCTTTGGTCACCGCCCGTCTGGTCTTTGCCTCCTAAGCTCAGGGGGAGGCGGGCGCCCCGATCCTGCTCACTGTTATCCTCAGATGCCAGGGAACACTCAGTGTTGGGTCCTGGAGACGCAGGCCACCTTGGGGGAGGGTGGGGCATGGCCCAGAGAAGGAAAGAAGCTGTCTCGGGCAGGGGTACCCCTCCTCCCCAAGGGGCCTGGCCGAGGCGACACCACAGCCTGCTGGCAAGGCTGCTCTCCTGTATGTCCCGGCTCAGGGACCCCAGAGGTGCTCACTGGGGCTTCGGAGGGCAGGCGCCCCCCTCACCTGGACACTGACACGGCCAGGCAGCCCGTGAGCAGGTAGGCTCATCCCAGCTGACTTCGTAAACTTTCCCTCCAAGTACAATGTTTCTAAAGTATCTCTTCAAAGAATTTTCCATAGACTTTACCATAATGCCTCTTATTTAAGAAATTATCTTAAACACATCATCTTATTAAAAAGTCATCCTTAGAACCAGCACAGACACCCAGGTCGCCCGGCAGTGGCGGAGCGATGGGAAGTGGGGTGCGGGGGCCGGCAGGCCCTGTGCTCAGAGGCCCCCCCTTGCTTCCGAGAGGTTTGGACGATTACCAGATTCTCACTCCCAGCTTCTCAGGAATAGTTTCCAACACAAACGTCATGGGGCTGTGGACAGGGCGTTCGATGTGTTAATCAGCCAAACTGCATCATCTCAACAGCAGGTGAGGCCTCTGCCTTCTTGCTGGTCCAGGGCTTGCAGGACCCGGAGGACGCGTCCTTGGGGTCAGGTGCTGCTGTGGGGAGGCTGTGCCTGTGGGCCAGATGCTGTGGGGGGCTGGCGGTGGGGGGGGGGGGAGGCTGCGCCCCTGGGCCAGATGCTGCTGTCAGGGAGGCCAGCCCCTGGGCCAGATGCTGCTGTCAGGGAGGCCAGCCCCTGGGCCAGATGCTGCTGTCAGGGAGGCCATGCCCCTGGGCCAGGGGCTGCCATGGGAAGGCCGTGCCCAAGGAGCCTTGAGACGGGTGCTGCAGGGGGTGCTGCAGGGGGTGCTGCAGGGGGTGCTGCAGAACGGCCGGGTCCCCAGTGGTGCTTCCTCCCCACATTCACATTCACCTGAGACCGTGCCTCCTGCCTACTCTCAACCACGTAAACTGCGTGTCCCTCTCTGGACCCGCACTCACTGGTGTCCGTAGCTGTCTGGGGCGTGAAACGCCGGCATTGCTCTGGGCACGGTGGAGGCGTGAGCCACGCCAGCACGTGCCTCGTGGAGCCTGCCTCTTAGTGGGGAAATGGACGTGGAGTCCTGAACGGAGCGGCACAGGACGCCGGGGCTCGACGCAGGACGGGGCTGCTGCCAGGTGCCTGCGCTGTCCTGGGCTGGCGGTGAGGAAGGGCCTGTGCGAGGAGACGTGAGCAAAGACCCGAAGGCAGTGGGCCACCCAGCGGGGATAGCCCGTGGGTGCCCTGAGGTAGGAGCGTGCTGGGCGCTCCTGGGTAATGGAGGCCTGGCTGTGGGCACGTTGGTCTGCCCATGTACGGGCACGCGTCAGGGAAGATCCAGCTAAAGCCCAGTGGGACCCGCCTGGGGGTGCAGAGGAGACGCTCCTGTGAGCACCCACAGTGCCAGCCCAGGTCCTGCCTCGCTGGTGAGACCAGGGACTGGGGCCGTGGGGGTGCCCTGGGCTCCTGAGGGCTTGCATGGTGGCGCAGTGGGCCATTTTGAGAAATCAGTCATAGCTCAGGTATGACCAAAAAACAAATGTGTTAGAAAAGGGAAACAAACTTATTTTCCCAAAATTATGAATTCCTTCCCTAGGGGAAGGATCCAAGATCGGTGGGGTTCAAAGCATATACAATTAGGAGACCCTCTTTTAAAAATACAAAACATACTTTTTTAGAATAAGAAGTAGATCACAATAAACCGTCATTTTAAAGCTGTAAGCGCACAGTTTAGAAAAATGGTGTGATTTTACTTCCCGGCCGGACACATCGATGGCACCTGTTCTTCCCCTTACTTGGCCGCCCAGCGTTTGCCCTTCATTTGGTTATAACTGGGCAGGACCGCTTTCCGCTCACAGGGAGACCCTCCCAGGCCCACGCTCGCGGTGAGTAATGCAGGCTCGTTCTGTTAGGGCTGCTGTCAGCTTGGGAAAGGAAGTTGGAGTAGGAGGAAAAGCAGTCTTCTGTGGTTATGATTAAGCATCTTTTAGTAACCAGATAAGACCCTAAAGCCATGTGGTCACATTGCTGGGCCCGCTGGGGCTGGCGGAGGCCAGGGGGCAGGCTGCGGTGGGCAGGCCCGGGCCCTCCCTGCAGGAGTGCCCTGCGGTGTGCCCAGGGCAGCGCACGGCCCGGCACGGTGCTGTTCCTGGTGCGTAGCCCTCTCCTCCGTGCCGTGTGCTGCGCTCTTTGTTTCATTCTGTAAAATATGTTACAATTAAAATGCTCCCAAAATGTCGTGTCCTGCAAAAGAAAGCAAAGGAGTTGTCATTTTCTCTGTGTTTAGTACCCAAGTAAATATTTTATCGTTTTGGGCTAAAGTTCTTACAAACCCAGAGCCGAGCCCGGTGCTGGCTGCAGTGCTATTTTGGAAATGCCCGTGAGTCCAGGCAGCACTGACATGGGATCGGAGGGCAAGGAGTGGACGGCGGAGGTCACGGGAGAGTGGGGTCCTGGTCGGGGCAGATGGCAGACTGGAGAGTAGGGGCCACCATGCAGAGCCTCCTGGGCCACACCGGCGGGCCAGGCACCCCTGGGAGACTGGTCAGGTCCTGAGAAGGGCCCCGATCTCTTGAATGGCCCAGAGTGGGGGCAGTGCAGGGCAGCGGCCCCAAGGGTCCTGCCAGGAGGGGCGGCCCAGAGGCAAGCATTAGATCAGGCACAGAAGTTTGGAGAAATCAGGAGAGAGTGTTGCCCATGCAGCAGCTGAGTGTTTGAGGTCAGGGATGTGAGACACTGAGGCAGGGAGAAAGCCCAGGAGAGTTGGAGTTCCATGATCTGACAGACGCGTGTTTTGGCAAGTGTGCAAGGAGGCCAGGCGCTGTGGCCTGCGGTTTCACCGCCCCCTCCCCCCCATACCTGCTCGGTGGTGCGGGCCTCAGCGTGCGCTGGCCTGTGGTTGCTGCACACGATGGGCGGGACCCCTAGACACACTCCCTTCCCATCCTCCCATGGCCGCTCTCCAGTGTGTTAGTTAGTCATCCCGGGGGCCTCTGTCCCGCACGCAGAGGCCTGGGCAGGGGCCAAGGACAAGTGTGGTTTGCCCTGCAGAGGCCATCAGTGTCCCGTGCTCGGGGACAGCTGTCGGGTCTGCGTGGCGGCTCTGACCCGCCCTGTATCTGAGATCCAGGGCCCTGACCTTTCTGTCCGTCACTCTCGGGGGGAAATGAACACTGCAGTCTGCGTCGAGCCTTCTGTGTTAGCTCCCATGACTTTCTCTCTCCCTCCTTCCCCCCACATCCGTGCCATTCTTCCCGTCCTTACACTCACATGCACACATTCACTCACCCACTCACGCCTCCTACTGCGGGGCCCTGTGGGAGGCGCTGCCCTGAAGCAGTGATCAAGATGCACAGATGGACCGGTGAGCACACTGTTCTGTACACACTGGGGCCTGGAGGACTCGGTGCCAGGGCTCTCTAAGGAAAGGCTGGCGTCCACCAGAATCAGAGGAGTGCAAATCAGAGCCTTTGTCCAGGACGGCCCTGGCTCAGGGGCACCAGAGGGCATCCCTGTCCCCCTCGACTATCAGAGCAATACCTTCCCCCAGTGTCCTCCCCTCTCTCCCCTCCAGGTGGACTCGATTGCAGGTGGATGCTTCCCTTTGGAAATAGATCCATATTGGGAACACTTTTCAGTGCACATGCAGCTCAGTGAAAGGTAGCCATAAAGAAGCATTCCCAACGTGGCACATTTCTCAGGGATGTTTGGATGGCTTATAAGAACATATACTTGTATTCCCTATGGGCAAGGAAACATGTCAATCAGGATAAAGGATGAGGAATGAGAGCTGTACCTTCCGTTGTGTTCCACAAGATGGACACAGAATCCCAAGATGATTCTCAACCTTCTGTGGGGGAGGAGGGAACCACCTGGAGGAGCTTAAAGGCACAGATTACTGGGTTACCCCCTCCCCGAATTTTTAACTCACTAGGCTGGATTATGGCTCAAGAATTTGCATTTCTAGCAAGTTCCCAAGGCATGCTGCTGCCGCTGGTCTGGGGACCACATCGAGGCTGTCAGAGATGCCGGTACCCACTCACCGAGGTTAAGAATAATGATCATTTGAGATTTTCAGAGTTCATTGGGGGGGCGTCTCTAACCATATGTGCAACACATCCCAAAGCCTGTGTTATTTCACTGGTTGGCATAGATAACCTTAAAATTGCTTCTATTAGTAAAAACTTAAGTGAGATAGTAAAGAAACTCAGGCCATGACGTCCGACAAGCCCAGACAGGTAGCTCTGTGAAGACCACTTAATTCATGTCTCTGACCCCGGTTTGCTCCACGATAGAATGGGAAGCTAGTGTTTTATCTCAGTTGTTTTGGGGTTGAACTAGGTAATGTGTATAAGTCTAAGCCAGTGGTGGTCAGGTTTTT